AAAAGGTACGAAATTGACAAAATGACAAATTACTCTTGCTCAATAAAATTCAAAATAGTTGTCTAAATATTAAGGATATGTTTTGGAAAATTATAGGATATATTTTGTGACCATATTTTATGGCTAGAATATCTTTTGGTTATCTTTTTTTAGTTTCCTAATTCTATCTCATTAGGGTAACCTTGTATTATATATTTGTCATGGCAGCCATCAATGAGATTCAAGCTATTATGTTCATTCAATTTAGCATGGTATCAAGAGCAGGTTAAATCATGGTATCAAGTTCAATTTTTTAATCTTTTTCTTTTGTTTTTTTTTATACAAAAAAAAAAAAAAAAAATAAAAAAAAAAACTTTTTTTCGGTGAACCATGGTGGACGGCAACAATCCACCACCACCAGATTATGAGTGCAATATTAGTGCTACATCTGCCAACAATCAGATTACGAGTTCGAGTGGCCAATTATTTCCAAGTGAACAATGGCATACAATTACAAGTTTGGTAGGTAATACCAAAATTTTCGAAAATTGTTCGAATAATAAGTTTGATGATACTTCTTGGATTATTGATATAGGAGTCACGCATCATGTTACAGGAGAAAAATCTTGGCTTTTTGATACAAAGAGCTTTGAATGTCCTGTAGGGTTACCGAACGGTGAAACAGTGTTGATTTCTCTTATTGGTTCTGTTCGTTTGTCGGACAAAATCACTCTAACTGGGGTGCTCTGTGTCCCTAATTTGAGTTGTAATTTACTTTCTGTTTCACAACTTAATGATGAGCTTAATTGTATTGTCCAATTTAACTCATATATGTGTGCTATACAGGATCAAACAAAGCAGTTAATTGGAAGGGGAGCTCGGAGGGACGGATTGTACTATATTAGCAAATCGGATTCCATGCATCATGTGGGTGCTATTGACGCAAGGTCTAATTTGGAGCTATGGCATCGTCGTATGGGTCATCCTTCCGAGAAAGTAGTTAAGTTGCTTCCTATTGTTAATTGCAAAGATAGTCTTGATAAGGGGTGTGAAGTTTGTATGCGTGTGAAAAATCCTAGAGATAGATTTCCTTTGAGTGATAATAAAGCGTCTAGAATATTTGAGAAAGTTCATTGTGATTTATGGGGTCCATATCGTAATGTTTCGTCGTGCGGAGCTCGTTATTTTTTGACAATTGTTGATGATTATTCTAGAGCACTGTGGATATCTTTGTTGATTGATAAAACTGAGGTGTTTCGTATATTTTTGTCGTTTGTTGCTATGGTAGACAGACAATTTTTCCAGACAATTAAAGTTGTGCAAAGTGACAATGGTACCGAGTTTAATTGTTTGCTTGATTTATTTGCTGCAACTGGGATTATCTTTCAAACCTCTTGTGTGGGTACATCGCAACAAAACGGGAGGGCAGAGAGAAAACATAAACACATTTTGGAAGTAGGGAGAGCCTTGAGATTTCAAGCCAAATTGCCCATTTATTTTTGGGGTGAGTATGTTCTTATTGCCGCTCACTTAATTAATCAAACTCCTACTCCTTTACTTCAAAACAAAACTCCATTCGAAATTCTTTTTAATAAACCACCTCATCTTGATGCTATTCGCACGTTTCGGTGTCTTTGTTTCGCTCACAATCAGAAAACGAATGGTGATTAATTTGCTAGTCGGAGTCGGAAGTGTGTGTTTGTGGGTTATCCGTTTGGGAAGAAAGGGTGGAGATTGTTTTGGAGTCTAAGGTATTCTTTGTTTCTCGTGATGTTAAATTCATTGAAGATGTATTTCCGTTTAGTTATCCGAAAGATATAAACATTAAGTCTCAGGTTTATGAGCCTAATTGTGATGTGCATGATGATTTTATTGAATAAGAGTTGTGGGATGAAACTGGTGCATTTTTTTAGGGCAATGGTGGGGGTATAGAAGAGGAGGTGGCTGTAACTTCCCCCACGCACTAACTGAACGGGCGCTGGCATAGGAGAGCAACAGCCAGCCCTGGTTTCTATCAAGGGCACTGGAAATCCCTCGGGCGCTGGGTCTGCTGCATCCCAGCCTCGGAGCCCTGTTGATATGGGTACAGCCGAGGATAGCAGACCAATTAGCCCAGCTCCCTCTGGCCTGCAGCAGCTCACAGATGGTGCGTCTCCCACTTCTGCCGAAGCTCTGCAGCAGCACACAGTAACTACCGAAGACAGCAGCTCGATACAACAACAGTCCACAGCCCACTCTCCCATGGGTCGTGGCCACTGTGACAAGTTTCCATCCGCCAAGCTTCGGGATTATGTGACTCATTCTATATTTGCTAAAAATCCGTCTCCCTCCACTCGTCTTCCAATTCTCCTTCGGGTATGCCTTATCCATTAGCATACTATATAAATTGTGACATTTTTTCTATGAATTATCGCAAGTTTCTTGCAGCAGTTGTTCAGGAAAAGGATCCAAGATCCTTTAAAGAAGCCATGAAATCTGAAGGTTGGCGACGTTCTATGAAAGAGGAAATAAGGGCATTAGAAGACAATAGGACTTGAACATTAGAGCATCTTCTTCCCGACAAGAAGGCTCTAGGCAATCAATGGGTGTACAAGACAAAATTTTTGTCTAATGGTGATATTAAACGTCTCAAATTTCGGTTAGTTGTCTTTGGTAATCATCAGCAAGAAGGTATCGATTATGGTGAGACTTTTGCTCCGGATGCAAAAATGACTACTGTGTGCGCTTTTCTTGCTATAGCCACTTCTAAAAATTGGGAGCTTCAGCAAATGGATGTTCATAATGCCTTTCTACATGGTGATCTGGATGAGGAGGTGTACATGAAACTACCTCCCGGTTTTGAGAGCTCGGATCCGACTTTGGTGTATCGTTTGAGAAAGTCTTTGTATAAATTGAAACAAGCTCCAAGGTGTTGGTTTGCAAAACTGACTATGGCTCTGAAAGGGTACACTTTTACAATCTTACTCTGATTATTCTCTTTTCACATACACTAATGGCAATGTTCAGATTAATGTCTTAATCTATGTCGATGATCTTCTTATTTCTGGGAATGATTCCGCTGTATTGACTGTATTCAAGGCTTACCTGTGTGATTGTTTCTAGATGAAGGATCTTGGTCCTTTGAAGTATTTTTTGGGCATCGAGGTTGCTCGTAGTAAATTTTGGTTTGTTTTTGTGTCAACGAAAATACACATTGGATATTATTTCAGAAGCAAGGCTATTAGGGGCAAAGCCAAGTGGTATTCTGATTGGCAAATGTTTTTACTAAGGCACTTGGGAAGACTCAGTTTGATTACCTTCTTTTCAAGTTGGGCATTTTTGATCCCCATGATCTAACTTGAGGGGGGTATTGAGGATATATTTTTGGAAATTATAGGATATATTTTGTGACCATATTTTATGGCTAGAATATCTTTTGGTTATCTTTTGTTAGTTTCCTAATTCTATCTCATTAGGGTAAACTTGTATTATGTATTTGTCATGGCAGCCATCAATGAGATTCAAGCTATTATATATGTTCATTCAATTTAGCACTAAACGCTTTTAACATTTTAGCCAATTGTGCAAGTTATGTTTGTTTTGTTCACTTTTCAATTTAGGACTATACTTATCAATTTTCTTGTTTAATTAATTTCTTGCTTACAAATTTGAATAATGCATCAATTCTGAAAAAGATGTAAAAATTTAAAATGATTAGGGTTTATCGTATGTAATATTCAAATTTCGAGCAGGAAATCGATATCCATGTCTAAAGCGTCAATCTTTGATCTTAGTGTAAGGGTTCTAAATTTAGTAAACCTTAAAGGGGTGATTCAATAATTTCCTGATTTGAATGGAACTTAGTTGCTTAAGATTTTTTTTTTCATCTTTCACTTGAATCAAGGAGTTAATTTTTTCTTGTTGGTTGGTCCAATTTACTAGTTTGACTAAAATTTGATTATAATTTTAGGCTATTGTATAAGAAAAAACACTATTATAAGGGATCTTGTTGGCTTCGTCTCACTATTTACTTTTCATATGTACTCCACTATTTTCATTGCAGTTAATGATATTTAGCAAATCAAAAGCTAATATGTAATCTATTTCTGAAATAAGTTTAAGAGAAAAAGTCCTTATTAAAGTAAATGGGAACTTGTATAATTGTCTTTGGGTATGGAATCTATGGATGTAAGCATTGGCTTATAAAGAATGCAAGTAGATTGAGAATTGATGGAAATATGTGGCTATCTTCTCTAAAAAGGCAAAGTAAGGACAAAATAGCTGAATTGACATGTAAATCAATCAATGATGACTAAGCACATAAAGAAAGCTAACATAATCTCTTTTCATTGCTTTTAAATCATGCTTATTGCTAACTAAAAAACATATATGCATATCAACATCAACATTACCCCAATACCTCTACTGAGACCTGCACCAGCCATACCGAGTTTAGTAGGGTTGGATATACATAACTTTAAGTGATGGTAACTAAGCGACTATTTTGTGTGTGTTAAGTGATGGTAACTAAGCGACTATTTCATGTACACTTCTTTACCTATTGATGGATGATTTGTTGAATTGCATTTCATGCAAAAGTTAGGGACTTAGGAGTAATGTTGCATTCATCTTGACCTCTTAGAATTCTGTAAGTACATCAGAGCAGAACATTATGTTCTATTTGTAACTTCTTGCTCACAAATCATAACCTGGAGTCCTGGAATACGAAAAGTTTTAGTCTAAGGCACAGGCTATTCAGGTTAATCATATGAAAGCAGAACCTCTACGTGCTTGATTGACCTAACATCCGGTCATTCGGACCTAGGAGTTGCACAGGATTTATGCAGGAGGAAAACCACGGAATTTCTGCATCAGATTGCTATCTGCCTCATTTAGCCCCCAAAAAAGTCTTTGTCAACTGTATCTTAAAACTCATTTTCTTCATATAAATTTTCTCAAATGGACTTAGATTTATATCTCTTGTATTAGTTGTAGGGTGTAAGTATCCAACAGAAGCAGAGGTCTTGAGGATCTTGTCTGGATCATCATTAGCCAGTCACTGCACCAAGTGCACAACGGTTATTGTCAGAATTTAGCTATGACCAACGGCTCGCAATCTCTAGAAACCTCTAGCAAGGCTTCCAATTTCGGGAGAAAGCTGTCAAAGCATTGATGAGTTTAAGGTAATAATGAAGGAGCTGGTTAACATGATTGTCCTTCACACATACCCCTTTTCCATTGTGGACGATGTAGGATTCAGAAATTATACAAGCACTTTAAACCCTGAGTCTGAAATGCCGTCTCAAATACAAGTGAGGGAAGAATTACTCAAAATGTTCAATGCCGGAATAGAAAGAAGGAAGCAATTATTAAAAAATTACAAGGGTAAAATTGCTGTTTCTTTGGATTTGTGGACATCTCATGACAATAGAAGGTTTGTAGCTGCCACAGCACATTTAGTTGATGATACTTGGACACTACAGAGCTTCCTTTTTAGGTAATATTATAGTAACAGGTATATTTGCTGTTTTAGTTGCCATACATTTGTTTTTCCCTCATGTAAGATGATAGAATTTTTATCTACGTTGCCATAGGTTCATAAAGTTTCCAAAGGAATACTCGGAGAAAGTGATCATGGAATAATACCTCAAATGCATGAGAACTTTTCTGAGTTGTTTCCTAGTAAGTCTGTTATGGTTAGAGAGAAGTTCTTAAGTATGAGATGTTTTGCACATGCCCTGATGTTGCTAGTGAAGGAAGGTCTAGCCATTCTTGGTGATACAAGTCTGAGAATTCGGAATATTGTAGATTATATGACAGCAACAGCTGAAAGAAAGGATAATCTTCATCAGAAAGCTCGTCTACTGAATCTTTACATAAGAGGAAAATAATTAGTTCTGAACTGTGAAACAAGGTGGGATTCAACCTACGTGATGCTTGTGAGAGCTTTGTATTACAAGGATGTGTTTAAAGACGAAATGCTTTGTAAATCAGGGAATATTGCCATACCTAGTGACGAAGATTGGAGTTTGACTGAAAAAGTTTGTGGAAAACTGAAGCTAATCTATGAAACTGCATTGTTTTTTTCTGAGAAGAATCATGCTACTGCCAATTTTATTTTTCACCAAGGTCTGTGATGTCAAATTAGCTTTACTAGAGTGGGCTGCTTGCGAAATTGAGATGGTGAGAGAGATGGCTTTGAATATGAAAGAAACCATACGACGAGTACTGGAATACTGTCAACACTGTCTTAGCAGTAGCTGCTGTATTGGATCCCAGATACAAGATGTATATAGTGGAATATTACTTCCACAAAATATATGGAGATGATTCACAAGACCAAATTGACCGTATTAGAAAAGTATCCTCTGAATTGCTTGAAGAATACCAAGCTAAAGATAAGAATAATGAGCTTGACGAGCAAGCTGCCATGTCTGCGTTTGATTTGTTTCTTAATGAGAGGAAGAAAAATAAGGTAGGTGTAACAACTGAGTTGGACTATTATCTAGATGAAGATGTCTTGCCAAGAACCAATGATTTCAATGTAATATCTTGGTGGCACACCAATGGGCTGAAATATCCTACCCTGCAAAGTATAGCCAGGGATGTTCTTGCTATACCTGTTTCGAAACTAGATTCAGGTGCTGTATTTTGTACGGTTGGCAGAGTGTTGGAGCAATATTATAATAAGCTGGATGAAGAAACAGTTGAAGCATTGATGTGTAGAAGAGATTGGTTGATTTCAGACATTCCAGGTATAGAAATTTTTTAGCTTGACTGCAGTTTTACGGAAATATCTAACTATGCAATCTGATGTGGTTTAATTTTCTTTGATATAGGTGGTTATGTGTCTGAAGATGAAGAAGATTCTTTCTGGCTTTCTGATGAAGATTCGGACAATGAATGAGACTATATAGGTGCACAGTTATTCAAATTAATCAACCATCATATATTTATCCATAGAATATGTTAAAAAGTTACATGAATACACTTTAGATAGATTCACCTGATGCAGTTTTGTTGATTTGAATTTCGCAGAATTTTACTAAGGCGAACTGGGGATTTACTGATGAAAGTAAATATTTGCTGACTGGTACAACTGATATTACAGTTTCACTGCTTCTCCAAATTGAATCTGTAAGTGTGTTGTCAATACTTGTGGGGGATTATAACATTCCTATATTTTTGTTAAGTATCTTTTGACTGCTTGTATCTGCATGACCGAATTTCCTTGGATATATTTTGTAGATGCAAGACTTTATGATATCTTTGAGATGTTATTAGAAAACAAAAATGGTTTATCAGAAATGTTGAACTCTGGTTGTTGTTTATAAATCTGATCGTCAGAGAAATGTTGAGAGCGAGCCTTTTATGCTTAAGTCTTTCACCTTGATCTTCTATGTGCATCTTAATCATACATGTGTCGTGTATAATACAATTTGGCCCTGTTTGGTAATTAGTTGATAGCTCGTTTGATCTTCCAATTATACAAGATGCTATTCACTGCAGCTTATAGGACAGCAATTTAACTTCAATCATTGTCATAAGGGACTAGTTTAGGTGCTTTAGAAGTTTTCAGGATACATAAAACATATTGAAAACTTGCTCATTGGCTTTTTCTTACCATAGTTATTCCTTCATCTGTAAAATTCATTACTCATTACATACATAAAGATTGTATTACATAATAAAAAGTACACTCATTGAGTTGAAAAAAAAAAAATTGGAAAAAAAAAAATTGATCATTATTAGAAACCTAGGATTCAATGATCAGCAAAATAATATACGGTGTTTAAACCAAAACTAGCACTGCATTGTCTAACCCTTCAATGATTGCAACACGGGTCTAGAAATGTTTACCTTTGGAGATGCCGTCTGAGGACCGAAAAACTCTGTACACATCTCCCCTAGGAACTTATCAACTATGTCAAGGTAAGCAGGACATGTAAGACGGGAATAGTAACGAAGAAACTCTTCGACATCAAGCTTATGATCAACATTCCCCTTATCCATCATTTCTAACTCCTTCAATTTCTCTGCTACAAAACACAGCCTATTTTCTCTGACGCTCCTCGAACACAGTTCAGGTTTCCTCTTATTCCCTGGACTAACATTCAATCCCTTGCTCTTCAAAACCTCTCTTATTTCTGCATTATTATTCTCCTTGGAAACACAATTCCCCTTGTTAAAATCACCCCTTTTCTCTGGTTTTTTCACATCGTCTTCAGTTCTTGCAGCATAGTTATTACAGTTTTCCTTCTGAGAAGAATGATCCAAGAAAAACTGCTGACTCTTTTTCGCAGTTGCACGAACCGTATTCTTCTGAGCCTTCTTCTTAACCTTGCCCTTACGCGAGTCCCATTGATGAGTAAACTCATTGTAGAGATTGTCCAACTCGTTATCGTACCCTGATTCACCATCTCTTCCCCTATTGGTGTCGCGCCCACAGGAGAAGGGGTGAAAGGGGGGTGTTTTAGGCAGCCTTTCATAAGTGCTTCCTACAGAAAGAAAAGACTTAACATTATCTATAGTTTTTTGGAAGAACTTCTTGGTGTTGGATATGGAGTTTCTTAGCAGCATCGTTGTTCGAGTTTCAAAGACGAATGACGTTGCAGCAGCTTCTTCATAAACAACAACATACAGTGAAAGGAGAGACTATGTTTTATTATTGTAAGCGGAAATGGTGTAGGAGATTAGTATAAAAGAATGAGGATTGTGCTTTTTTGTAAGCAAATCTTTGGATCACACGCTCCTTGGCTTTCATAGTGTTCTCTTCTACCTTACTTAATGGTCCCTGTCTAAGATTATCAAAAGTGCCAAAGTTTTTTAAAGCTTTGGAGGGGGGAAATTCTTAAGTATTTTATAGGGTTAAATTAATTAGACAATTTGATTGCACTTTCATTTTTTGTACTTTATTATATGCTATATAGTTTGGTGTGTAGCCACTTTAGGGAATTGATAGGCTCTTTGCTTTTGATTAGTTTCTAATCTCTCTTTCCCTTTAATTATGTAAAACTTTTTACCCTAAGACTAATCAATATTTGTATTATTGATGACATACATTAACACATGTCTAAGCGTCATACTCCAACTACTATACGGAGTATGAAAAGTGTCCATGTTTCTGGTCCAAAATGAAGTGTCAAGTGTCCATACTTATATCCAAAATATTGAGAATCTCATACATTGATTAATCTGGTCTAAAATGAAGTGTCAAGTGTCCATACTTAGTTATGTCCAAAGTATTGAGAATCTCATACATGATTAATCTGGTCTAAAATGAAGTGTCAAGTGTCCATACTTATGTCCAGACTCCAAAGTATTGAGAATCTCATATATTGATTAATTTGGATTATCAGTTGTACCGATGTATAGTGCGTTAGTTGAGTACTTGATTCACATGAAGCATAACTACGCTAAGAATTATTAAAAGTAGTATATAGGTATGTTTAAGTGATGTATGTTACTAGTTACAAGCATACACATTTAGTAAGAAATAACCGTGAAGAGGACCCATACCCATAAATTTGGAGGAGAGTCTTAATCTGACAAAGAGAGGTAGTAGCTATATTTAGACTCAAGGTTCGTGTTTATGAAGGTTAGAATTGCATTTACTATTTACTTGACAAACACATCTTTTAGAAAGTCATGTGTCAACTACTTCTGTTAACCAAATCAATGTTTTTAGATGTGACTTAATTTATTCAAGGCATTTCAAGCTGTATAATTTGAAAATTTATGTTTCCTTGTTTTTGGATGTTTCTTTCTTGTTTCGCAAGAGGATAACATTTAGGTTTTTACTAATGTGAAAAGGAAAGGTCATTACTTCTAAGTTGAATTTATACTCTTCCATAGGAATATTGAGGTACAGCTCATTTTGTCAATCATTGTTAGTGTAGTTGATAAATCCGGTTAGCATTATAAGTAGAATATGCGTTTAATAATATACCACATATTTATTTTAGGCCGTCTAAATATCACAAATCACTTTTTCGTTTATTGAAAGTCTATCTAAGTTATGTCTTCTCTTCAACCTTGTTGCTCTCCTCTAAATTTGCACAACTATTGGAGCACATAAAATGTTTTCATACATAAAGTTGGCATGCATTAAGGTTTTATCAAAACAAATTGATTCTTGTTAGGACATATGGTGTATAATGCGGAGTATATGGTTTTGTCGTTTATGGGTCATAATGACTCATAATTTGGAAGTATTATTTTGACAATTAATAATGATTAGCAAAGTTAGACTAGTAGTATTAGCGGCACTAAACATTAGAATATGAACAGTACTTATCATGATAGATTGGTTTCCAATGTTGTAATTATAATAATAAGGTCACCGTGATTGCCGCATGAACTTAGAAAGAGAATTTCTTTTTTGTCTTCCCAATACCTCTTCCTAAAATAAAATTTAAAAAATAAAATAAATAAATAAATAAAATAAAACACAAGTTTGACTGTCTAATCAAATATCATCAACCAACACCGTGTATGTCCATCAACCATAAGGCTTTAAACCCACTTTTTATTTTGATTTTATGGCATGCAATTTTCTTGACGAAGAGCATCTTAATTTTAGTGTTTAAAGGACTTTATTTCTTATCTTCCGTTCTCTTTTTTAATTTCTTTAAAAAGGAAGAAAGAAAAATCATTTGGTTTTGGCGCCAATGAGTTTTGCCTAATACTTCAAATTAAATGCCATTTTAATCTTTTACATTCACAAAATGTGAATACTTACAATGTTTTAAAGGGAGATTATTGATTCCTGAAATTTATATTCTTATTTATAAGTTACACTTGTGAAGTATGAAAAGTTAGCTTTTATTAGTTTTAGTTGTAATTGTTTTTGATAAGTAATTATCAAATAGGACCTTAGGGAGGTTGAGAAATAACTTTTCCATTTTGCTTGAAACGAAACTTTCTAATAATACAACTTCTAGTATTCTTATCACTATCATACATTAGTATTCCCTCTATTTAATCAGAATTGCCTCATAATTCTTCTTTATTTGTTCTATAGAATTAGCCACATATCATAAGTGACACTAAAATCACATTTTCAGTCTCACGTACTTTGATCCCATCAATTTTCTCTCTCGAATCTCCATATCTCGTATGAAGTAAATCCAATGACCAATAGGCAATGGGACAAAGGGAATACTTTGTTTTATACTCTCCATATAATCATCCTAGGAACTACTAGTAAATCTGAGTATTATTAAACGTGATAAAAAGTCAAGTTACGCTAGAACCTAAGACGGAGTTTGGTGAGCAAAGACGGCACGTTTTCGCGCCAAAATTATGCAACAGACAAGTGCTCTGTTCAGGGCTTTTTGACATGGGCTTAGTTTCAAAGATTAATGGATTATCTGGATATTACTTCAGCTGGGCCGTGGGCCTGTTCATATATGATAACTGGGCAACAAAGTTTTTGGCCCATATATTGGAATGTTTGTTTTGTTAAACTCTTCTAAATAAGTGTTCTTTTGTCTTTCAGAGTGAAATAAGAGACTAATACAAATTACAAAATACAGAATACTCATCATTTAAGAACTTGTTTTTGCATAATTCTATAAGATATGGTAGTGTTTAACATTTGAATTTGCCATTATCCTTGATTTTAAAACTCGTTTAATCCATCTTTTGTTTGTAACTGTACAAAACTTCTACTCGTAGTATCAATTTTTAGAGAAAGGGAGTTAACATTAGCTGATTAGCATGCATCATATAGATCAAATATCGTCTATACATCATATTCCTTTTGTGGCTCTCGCTACGCCAAAAACAAAGACAAAGTAAAGTATTATATAATCAGCTGAATTTTACTTTTGGCTGAATTTTGTTAATTTGCAGCTAAACATGTACTTCTATGAATTTGCCCAAATTTGAAGCTGTTGGATATTACGTCAGTAACAGCAAGCAACATGGTTGGAGACCCACTTTAAAAATGCAGCCTAACTAAGATGCCTAAACCCTAAAGTAGTAGACTAGCTAAACTAAGTACCAACTTAGCTGCAGGTCCACAAGAGAGCCTAAATCTCATTTGCCCTAATCATAATTTCTATTTTAGGCCCAAGTCCTTTAGGACCGTTGCCACTAGTGTTTCTATAAATGTATAATCTTGCAACACCTTTTTTTTTTAATTTTGATTTTCCCAAGAAACCTCTCTCTTTGCCAATAGAGTATAATCAAATGCAATATATTTATACTTAATCAATAACTTTTTAAAATATCACATACAATTGTTTATAATGTGAAATTACTAATGATATACTCAAAGATTTTATATGTAGGGTTTTTTGGCACATTTTACTAAGATACATACTAAGGACTAAGCTGAATTATTATTTTCTGCGCAAAAACAAACAAAGTTGGATTACGAGTAATACTAAGTTCTATTTTTAGCTACATACATTCGAATACTTCTCCTTTAACTATAAAACTTTAAATCCGTCAATTCACCTTGGTGGAATACTTTTTTGCTCATTTGATGAACGAACAGAAAATTAAGGTTGAATGTACCCATCCCTATGTGCAATTGTGCACAATGCACCCCATGTTTGTAGAGCTAGCCTTGTCGACGTGTCATGGTGCTACCTCTACCTAGAGAGTATTATGGCAAGTTGAAAGAAGCTAGCTCAAATCTCAAAAGAGAGTAAAAAAAGGTAAAACAACAAAGACGGAGGGCAAAAAGAGATTATACAAGGAAGAAGAATGAAAGCTTCATAATTGAAAAAATAGCATACATTACAGAAGACTCATTAAATGCAACACATAACGCATAGTGCAGGCTCAATAATCCAAAAAATGCGAAACAATAAATGAGACAGCAACCTATTAATAGAACTACTCAGATAAAATACCACAGTACTAGAAACTAGTGCTACAGTATAAATTTATTTATGCTAAAACATCAAAAGTACTTGCATATTTAGCAATAACAACAACAATAAATTTAAGGTGCAGGTACAGACAATTGAGGGAATTCTCAGAACATTTCTTTAATTTAAAAAACAAATAAAAATTAATTTCTAGTTTGGGAATGTGTTTGAAATTTGGTTCCCCAAAGTTAAATTAATTCTTACAGTTTGTTACCACATTTATGTAAAACTACCTCTGTGTAAATAGTACTCCATTTATGTCATTCTTATTTCATTTACTATTTTTGATAGAAAAGGAATATCTTGCATAGTTGCACTAGATTGATAGCTACTCTAGTGGTTTATCATATTTTCATGTATATTACGGTTTTTTTTTTTTTTTTTTCAATACAAAATGATAAGAAATAAAAGTAAGAAATTAATTTATTTTCAACATTTGGTATAGGGATTGGCTTTGGTATAGTGGAGTTTTTTTTTTTTTTTTAATAAATTTTTTCTTATAATCAATTAATTCGAATATGATATACGGAGTATTTATAGACTTTAATTCGAAACTGATAATAAAGGTACAGTTTTTAAAAGTGTGTAGTACTCTCTAATAATAAAAGAACATTTTGTAGAAATGATATTTAACAACCAATTAAGGGAGAATACATGATAGAATTACATAACTCATATGGGAGGAATAGAATTTTATATCTAGTGTGTGTTTAAATTTTAATTAGAAAATTAATAATTTGAAATGTATGGATTTATGTGTATATCTTATGGAGTACAAGTTTGATTTTTATGGTGCTTAGAGAGCCATAAAAGCAGGGTGATGAAAATTGATCTCAAGATCCCCTAAAACTGAGAGGACAGAAAGCTCTAAGCACTTTGACTATCCCTCATTCTCTGAGTACAAGTTTGATAACAATGAAAGATGTTCTCGTATAATGTACAAGTACTATTTTCACCCAAAAATTAAAGAAAAAACACATAAGGACTTACAAAATACTACTTTGATTGTACAATATACAGTGGAGTATTGAATTATATACAGTGTAATATAGCCCATCCTCTTCCAAATGTAAGAGAGCTATCAAAGCAGTAGACAGTGGGAGCAAAAAGTAAAAATAGCCCCACAAAATAATTTATTAAATTAACCCTACACATTATTGGAAGTATATATAATAAGGTTTTGTTTACATTGAATAATACCAACAATGGATTTAATATAGAGTACGTGACCCTCCTTTAAATTCAATTTGCATCATGCATGAATGCATGACAGCAACCATTTTTATGGGGGACGACGCTCCATTGAAATAGACATCTCTAAATATTACTGCTACTTTTTTTTTATATTATATTTACACAAGATCATACTATATTATTTGCAAAAATATGGTAAGAATATAACTGCTCATTCCATCACCAATTGAAAGTTTAATCCTTCTTTTTACTTCTGTTTTGAAAGTGACATAGAAGAAGCTCTCCATTCTTTGTTATCCTACTTTTTCTCTTGTTTTTCTATTTGTCTTTTCTTTTCTTTTTTCTTTATCATACACATAATTCTATGGTTTTTTTTCAAATGAGTGGAACAATTATTCGCCTTTTTATTCTTGTTATTATTGCTTTATAATTCACATGCTTGTTTTTCTCTTAGGCTGAAATTGTGACGTGACTTGATTCAAAAAATTTTAAGAATTGAGATAAAATCAGCCTTTTCCATGCATGCATGGAGTCCTCTCACCTAGATGCATGGCAAATATATACGGAGTATATATCACCCAAAATTGTAACTTCGATACCTTCATGTAGAATTGATAATCACAAGCCTTATCACAATCTGCGTCATTAATATTTTCATCATGAATAATACACTATAACTTCCTTTATTCTTTGTATATAAGTACAGTTACACTCTTTCTACCCACAATTAATTGTTCCACTTTAACTTTAATTTAGTAATAATACATGGAAATATTTCAATTATATGGTATGTGACTACTATTTTAGTATGAATAGGGTATTATCTTGATTAGAACATCGACCCATATTGTCATATGAGTATTTTAGCTAACTTTCTTTCAGAATTGACCCAAAACAAACATGATCATATCATCATATATAGGGACGAAAGACCGGTGTCTATAAATATGCGTACAAAGCAAGCACCAATATATTCCTATGTTTTTAATCTGTAACAAGTTTAACAACTAACAAAATTACAAGGAATGGATACGGACTTGGACTTGCATTGCATTGTGTTAATATTTATTATGTTAATATGTTTCATAAATGATATACAAATACAAACTTGCATGCTTGATCTAATCTTAATTAATTTTGAATTAGTACGAATTTAAAATAAGTGCTGTCTAAACAAGCAGAAAAGACACTTAAAAGTTCAAGTGTTGTTGTCTGTTAAGATGTACGAACCTGCGAATCTTACAAGCTGGTTCCTTTTGCTTCATATTCATCTGCACTTTACATAATACAAACAAATCTAACCATATTAATAAACTTATTAAGAGTACTACTGTAGTTTATAATAATTTCAAAAGAGTCCAAACAAACATATGTTACCTACCATATGATTATATTTACATTAATACGTACGAATTTATAATTATGACTTTGTTTCAAAAACATAAGCCTTAAAGAGCTCGGTGATGTACGTATGCAATTTTTTTTTTTTTTTTTTGAATAGATGTACGTATGCACTTTCTATCTTCTTTAATAATTTAAATACTACTGCAAATGCAATGTTACACTTACGTAAATGTTTCATATTTATTGCAACGTGTTTTTACTTACACTCGATAGATTTACAGAGTATCTCTTTATCCCTTCTCTTCTCTTTTCTCAATACATACTTTGTAATTCCTAAAATATCGAGCATCGTCCACAGTACATGTTGCTATAAGAAAGAACGGGAAAAATATATGTGTTGTCTTTAGGCCACCATGACATTCATATATTGCTAAATTTTTTGAAAAATCCATCTATGAATTTTGTTATAAATCGAGAACGTGATGACTGGATAGTGGAGAATAGTCAATTTCTAATGAGGTGGTCCATTATTATATTATTTCAAGAGATTTTAATTTGTCTAATCTAAAGATTGTTTCTTGAGTTAAGTCAATTTATTCAAGTGTTGTAACATAAATGAGTTCACAGCCATAGTTTTCTCATGGAAAATCTGGACCATATTTTACAGTTACGCAGACATTGGAATAAGTAGCTTAATATGGATAGTCATAAAAACAGCACTGTACTTGAATTGTTTACATGGCTAAAATAAGCTATGGTCCAAATTTTATTTGTCAACTAAATCGATATGATAATTGAAGTATAAGTATGCATAATTACTCAATCACGTTTGCTTTTGACATTCATCAATAGATTTATGTTTTGTATTGTGATTTTATTCGATGGATTCTTTTACATTTTACGAGCAAATTTTAACTACCTTGAGGTTTTTTTTTTTCACTCACCACCTATCTTGTTGAGTATATGAAAAACATTTGTAGTACATCTTAAGCATAATAATACTAGTATTCACTCAAAATGTGATTAATACAAGTATACAATCAGGATACCAACCCTTTAACAAAACTTCAATTAATCCTAATCATTTTAATGCTAGTCAATTACTAGTATTAGACATACAAACCACTTCTTTCTCCTCTCTCTAATAGGGTTTTAATTTTCTTGGCCGTTTAGGCCGGTAATAGTCTAATTTCTTCAAAAATTAGACTATTTTCGACCCTTTTTCTTTAATTCAATTTAGTTTTTTGCTTTATTTTACAATTTGGTTTGTTTTGCTCTCTCCATCTGTGAGAGTCTGTCCCAATTTTCTGGGTTTTCCAATTCTCTGGGATTTTGATTCTCATCCATGGATGAGAATTTTATTTTTAGGGTTCTTGTAATAATTGAGAAGGTGATTTGGATTCCTATGGGTTTGGGGTTTGTCATCAACTTTTCGTTCAAAACATCACCGCAGATCGCGAAGGTCTCTTCTTGGAAAGATGCAAAGACATCGAAAATCATTGCTCGCGTCAAGATTAAAGCGGTGGGGTATGAGATATGCCAAATATGCAAATTAATTATGATTTTGATTGTAAAGTAATGATATTTTCTCTAAATCAGTGATTTACAGATCTTTATTATTATAAATGCGGTATGACTATTATTTAATAATATTATTAATTCCTGTTAAAAAAAAAAAAAGACATAAAACCATATCCAAGCAAACCAACAATGCAACATTCATTCTTTAAATATTGTTATACTGATGAACTGTTCCTCCACTTGTAACCATCTCAAATTAAATATGAGAATGACACCTAAGAAAAATTAGCACAAAAAATTGTCAAATGAAAAAGTGTAATTCAAATCCCTTTAATCTAAAAAGGATCAAATGAGATCATACATTTATTAATTTTAATTCAAACCCTTTTTGCTCTATATGGATTGTAGGGAAAGTAATCTCTGAAAGTCAATTGTGTTATTGTCAAAAGAGAAGTTGATTCCCAACTTTTCATGCTTAAAACAAGTTTCCTTTTCAATGAAAACTATCACACTTTTTAAGTTCAAAAGATGTCCCATAATCTAAAAATATGGATAGTAATTGCAAATATGTCAAAAGTTAAGGAAACATCCAAAGTCATGTTCGTTTAATCTTTTCCAAATCAATTCTTCACCCCTACATTTCCCTCCTTCCTTTTGAACACTATTTTTTTTTTATCTCTCACAACCAAACAAACCATCAAACAGCAACAAGACAGAAAATCCAAAGAGATAAAAATTAAATTAAATAGAAAGACAAAAAAAATATTGTAAGAATATGCAAATAAGATCACACAAATGAACCAAAAAAAAAAGCTCATTGATTACAGTCAATAATCATCATCATAATAATAATAGTTAGTACAAGTACAATACAACACTAATCACTACTAAATCTCACCCTTTTAACATCCTAACAATAAAATTAAAACTTCTTTTGATTTTTTTTTTTTTAAATGGGAATAAATAGTTAAGAGCAATAAGAAAAAAGAGCTTCCCAAATTTCAGTAAAAACTTCAACAATAACCCTATGATGATGAGGAGAATTAAGAGATAAAAAGCAATGCAAAAGTTGCTCCAATTCTTTAGCTCCAAATATTTGCTTCTCAATTATCATTTCCACCATTGATGTTCTAAAATCATTGTAAGGATCACTTGAACTCTTCACCACCGCAAATGTATCCTTCACTTTCCCTTCCAATGGGACCACTCCAACCTCCTCTCCTTCCTCCTCCTTCACCATTGCTCCACTTTCTTTCCTCAGCCTCGAACCCGGCTTTCGCCTTCGTGTTCGAGGCCGAGCCCTAATTCGACTTCGACTAGACTTGTTCATTGGATTATCAGAATCAGAAGATAGAGAAATTGATTTAGATGAAAAAGATACAGACTTTAAAGAAAATAAAGTCTCTGTTTCATCTTCTTCTCTTTCATCATCACTGCTGAACCAATCACCAATGTCTGTCTCATTTGAAGAAGAGTAATATATTTTATCTGGGTTTTCTTTTTTCTTCAAAAGGGTATTTTCATTTTTATAAAATCCCTTGTTTTTCTTCTTGTTTTTCTTTCTTTTCCCCTGTTTTTGTGAAAACAGGGGAGAAGCAGGGGATGCTGGAGGACAACGCCGGCCACCGGAATATTCCACAGCCGGCGATAAAAGTGAGTATTTTCCGGCTATTTTCCGGCGAGGTAAAGGGTTTCCGGCAATGATACAATTCTCTCGAACCATCTGATCAAAAGTTTCAGGGCATCTAGGCTTACAATACATCATTGAGGAAGATGATGAATGTGTTTGTTTGGATTTAATTACAGGGGAATGGAAAGGATAATCATCATCTTCATCTTCTTGAGGAACCTCCATTAATGGAGTTTGAAGAAAAATGGTGTTTTCAGGGGTAAAGATAGGAACTTTATGATCAATTACTTCAGAAAGATCTTGGGTTTTGCATGAAGAAGTAAAGATTCTAGGGATTTTTAGCTTGAATTTGTTCTCTTTCTCCATTTTTGGAAGATGAGAGAGAAAGTTGATGTTTTTTTGGGAAGGAGAGGGGTAGTGGATGGAGGATCTTTGTGGATTAAATAGGAGGAATTATAATTTAAGAATTCAAAATTATTTATTTTAAATTTTTATTTTTTTAGGGGTTTTGCCCCCATTTTAATAAAATAAAAATAAAAAATTTGGGGGTATGTGGAAATGTGGAATATGGTAATTGGAGGTGTGATTTGTTTGCTACTAATTGCCATTGGTTCATTCCCTCGAAAAATAATGAGTAAAGAATAAAATAATTAGAGAGAAAAAATAAAATTAGAATTGGTTCATTTTCATTTTTAAGTCGGCGCGGCTTCCATCACCATCCCAAATAAAATATTTCACAATTTTTTGTTTTATTTTTTGGAATTTATTAATAGGGTTGATGGAGACCTAGTAATAGTATTGTTGTACTTTACTCTAAATATGTATAGACAATTCTACTTATTTGAAATTATATCCAAAATGACAATGCATGTATTGGATTAATTGTTCCTTCAACTTATAATATAGGTACTCGACTAATTGTTGTTTTCAGGATATATATGAAATACGGAGTAAGTTATATGTAGTAGCATAGTATGTAGGAATTGATAAACATATATATCTTGTGATATGATATTTTACATAAAGGAAGTAGTATGAAATATGAATCGTTCTTACAAATTTTCCATAGCATCTGATCCATGACTATACTAGACGAGCAATGTCAGTCCAATTGTATACGGGCTACTATTTCGTTCATTATTGTTAATGTCTTGTATGTGTATTGTTGGTTTATTTCATCAATAAGAAACTAAGAATTGAACATATAGTCGTTTAATATTTTTACTATCATAGTTAAACTTTGTATTTACATTCAAAATAATGAATATATTTTAGAAAAATAAAAGCATTTATTTGGTAATGGGGAGTTTAGAATCAAACCTCTAACTTTTTAATTAGGAGGTAGAAGTTTTATCATTGAGATCATATCTCACATGATTATCTTTAAGACTTTTAAAAGCTAAAAGTAAGGTGCAATAAACAGAAGTCTTATGTAGATTAATTTGGTATAATTCACTGTTATTTGTCCAATAATTATAGCATACCATTTTTCTAAAAGTTTATTTTGGTCAATAATTTAAGAGAAAACTCACTAAATTTGTTTAACCGAAATTCTAAATATCCAAATTTGTTAATTTAAAAAAAAAAATACGGAGTATGAAATTAAATGCATATTGAAATTGTTTCTTCATCGCTTTTTTTTTTTTTTTTGGGATAGAATCCTTCACTGCATTTCATAGGCGCTTGAACTTTAGTTAGGTTTATTACCTCTAATTCGAACATTTAATTTGAATTAGCTTTGTTCTAACCTACTCAAGAATGTATGTCTTTAACCCTAGAATATAGCGGGTACCAACTTTGTTTCCACTACTTTACACAAGTATCATCGTATTTAATTTGTCTTATATTGCCTCACAACCTATTATTAAAATCTATTTTGTACCAAAAAAAAACTAATAAATCCAATATTCAATATGAATAGAATTAAGATGATGTGGAGCTATCACCAAGCACAATGTAGTAATTTCTCGTTTTTTTTTACTTGACCCGCTTTGACTTTTAAACTATTTATCACCTCTTATTTGACCGTCTTTTGTGAATTATATACTTCCTCTGTTTTCTTTTAAATGAAACAAACCTTTTTGACACACTTTTTTAGGAGTTGATTAGAGTAGGCAAATGAACGAATTTAACAAAATAATTTTAACACTATAATTAGAAAAGGGTTAGTTACTACGTGTATAAATTATATTGATTAATTTTTTCGTTTACATTGCTTAATCACTTCCTCAAAGTGCGTGTTTAAGAGGTGTGTTGCATTTAAAAGAAAACAGAGGAAGTATATGTAAAAATATATTCATGTGTGATCTTATTAGATTCGTCTCAATAAGTACTATCATAATATATATTTTCTATAATTTTTACTAAAGGGAATTAAAGTTATCGATTGTTAAAGAACATGAAACATGCCAAGTAAAAAAGAATTAAAGAAGTATATAGGTTTGCCATAAACAACCAACAATTTTAAAAAGGTGCTACATGCAAGCTACGTACTAAAGTAAGCTAAGTATTGGGGACCAGGTATTACGTTTAAGTGACATTCAAAATTTAAACTGTTGTAAACTCTATTTAACTACTACATGAAGACCTATAACAACGATAATACGTATTATATTACCTACAATTATAGGTTATATTATTAATTACTCTAATTTACTACTAATTTGAGATTAAAGCGTGTAGTATATGATGCACAGAGCATGTCTAGTTGGCTTCTAAAGGTCCGTGACATATTATTAATTTAATTCGTAGCTGTAAATCTGCAATAATACCTTTAATTTGTATTGACATACATAAACCTACTTCTAATTGCTATAAACTTTTCATAATGCAAGATTGGGATGGACAACTGACATATAATTTAAGTCGAGACTAATGTCACACATTTATGAAGGAGGACTAGCAAATACGAAGCAGTATGAATGTATGATGCTTTATCTATTAACAATTGGTTTTAAGATGAAATTTTAGCTTGATATTTGCATGGGGTCATCAACCAAACTTTCTTTAGGCTTTTACTTGTGAATATATAACCTATTGAAAATTTATTATGATAAGAAAATTGTTTTATAATTTTATATAATCATACTTCATACATTTATATATGCTACCAGTAATATTATTAGTGATTAAAGCTTGATCTGACAAAGTGTATAAATATACTTGCATTGTATTTTTTGCTTTAAAAAATAAAGTTAATTTGCCCCCACATCATACAAGCACTACGAACTTTACGGAACTATGATTTTACTTGAGCCCGTGACTTATTTGACTAATTAAAAACTTTACACGGTCTTTATTGACTTAATATATGATCATGATTATATAATATCATATAATTAGATAATCTTAATTCTTGAAATGTCGTAATATTAAAACAAAAAATACTGTATGTTCGAATATTTTAATAAATATACTCGATTTAATCATTTTCTAAGTACGTATTAGCGTGTGCAATATGTCATAGTTGTATGGATTTTATCCAAACTTCTACGTTGATGCTTTCACATACACAATGACAACTTAGAAGATGCTAAAATAAACAAAATACTCCTTAATCTTTGTGACTGAAATATTAAATTAATTACATCTTATTATGAATTGTATCTTAGCATGGTAAATATTTTTACAAAAATAATAAATTTTATATATGTGGTCAAATCCATATATATCACCTGTGACTTGTGACGTACTCCTTATCGAAAGGGCAAACTCGTGTGATTAGAAACATGAAAATTACAAAATTTTGATGCATAGCAGTTGTATCTCTTGTATACTTGTGGATAACAATCCAGGAGGTTGATTGGTTTCACCCCTGCAACTTATTTCTTAGACTGTAATTTTACCTCATTTCTGATTAGGGAATTTTGCTCCTACCAATCGGAATGCGCCACGTGGGCCAATCAGGTCCTGCCAAGTGTCCCCCAGATGGAACTATCAGGGCATGCCACGTGGCACACGCTTATTCGTCCACCTTGGACCTGTTATGTCATGACACGTGGCATACTCCATGCCTAATGGAGAAACCGGCCACCCAGGCCCAACTTCCGAGGGAAGCCCAATCAGCCCTAGGTTAACCTAAACCTAGGATTGGCACGTTTCCCAAGGTTATAAATACCTCCCTTAATCCTCATTAAGAGGGATTACAGAAAAAAACACATTGATTACACACAGAGATAATAGGCTGATCACGCTAACGAAGCAGATTACGCTAAAAACTCACATTAAACACTCTCACCTAGAGAGACTCAATCACTTTAATTTCCGCATTAATTACTCCTTAATCAAGTACTAACTTGACCGTTGGAGGCGGAGCTCCCACCACCAGGAGTCTCCGTTGTTTTGCAGGTACAGGCACCCGGTTCCAGTCTCGGAATTGTAACTCTCCCGCAGGACATCAGAAAACCCCGAAACATTTGGCGCCGTCTGTGGGGAGAGTACTTCTGAGATGGCATCCAAGTCTGTACCGACTCCTGAAGAGAGGCGTCCCCTAGACGACCCTCAAGTTCAGTCGGATCACGATACTGAGAGTGAATTTGAAGTTGAAGCTCACACAGCTTCAGACGGGACCCTAAGGGCCCGACGTACCCGTCATACCGAAAGGAGGGAACGGGAACATCTTCAAACTGGAAGTGAGCCAGCAGGCGCACCGCCTGTTCGGCAACAGCCGACTGATGGTTCTGCTCCCATCACAAGGAACGAACTCATGACCTTCATGAGGGACTTCAAGGGAGAGATTCAAGAGTTGATCAACAAGAAGCCGCCTGCTCCAGTCAAGGAGCAGTCGGCTAAGAAACCCTCCACTTCACTGAAGAGGAAGCCAGTTCAAGGGCGAGAGGCGACTCCTCATCCTAAATCTAGGAAGCGGGAGCCACCTGCCCTTGATTTCACAAAATTCCGTTTTCCTACAGGAAATAGGAAACATGTTCGTCATATTCAGGCGGACGGGTCGAAGCAAACATTCACAGACGCTCGGCTACTGCTAGAGCAGAAGAAGAGTGACCGATTGTCAGAGTCGACCTCTACTTCAAACTTCCAAGACAGTCTGCGAAATGCCTCGATGAGGCATACTCAGTCGTATCATGAGAGTCAGTCAGGCGGCACCTCCCGTCAGTCCGGCTTTCATAGCGACCAGGCGGTACCAAACTTACCATTTGTGCCGCAACAACAGTATTTTTTGCAGCCACCTCCGTTTGGTGGACCTACAGCAAAAAACGTCCAACCTATGGACTGGCAGCTACGGTTTCTTAGACTTGGTGAACAGCCGTCGGCCTTCTCCAAGGAAATTACTGAAGCCGCTCAGCCGGCCAAAGTGAAAAATGTATTAGTAGGCGCCTATGACGGCACTACTAACCCAGAAGACCATCTTATGGCCTTCACCAACCTGATGTACCTTCAAAGGTTGGATGATCCCACCTGGTGCAAGTGTTTCCCAGCGACTCTCAAAGGAATCGCACAACAATGGTTCGGCAACCTGCCGACTGGTTGTGTAAATAGCTTCAGGACGCTTGCTTACTTATTCACCTCCAACTTCGCCATGAACATCCCTGCAAAGAAGACGACCCTTGATTTAGGAAAAATTCAGCAGGGCGAGAAGGAGGGGCTTCGTTCTTACATCAGGCGTTTTAACCTGATGAGAATACAGATTCAAGGGTTACCGGATGAGGTAGCCTATACTGACTTTTTCAGAGGTCTCAAGGACGGGTCGACCTTCAAATTTGACTTGGTCCGAAAGAGGGTGGCGACTC